GTCGCTTCTTTCTTTATCTTCTACTAAGTCAAAAGAACCCAAATTACTCACGTCATATCTTGGTTTGTTCTTTTTCCCTTTGTGCTATTAGGGCTCTGTAGCGGAATGGAATGAAGCACTTTAAAACACCCAATAAACCAAATCAACAACAAACCAAGCCAAAAGGCTCAAGCAAAAGTAGTGAAATGTAGCATAAAGCTGTCTTGTCCCGATCCATTAAACTGTGCTTGTGGCGCTTCGTTCATCCTTCACTTCGCTGAATGTAATGCAATAAACGGAGAGAACAAAATGAACGGAATGAATCCAATTGCATGAAAGCATACAGGAAGGAGTTCGAAGGGAAAAGGACAAAACATCGAGAACACCAAAGTCTGCACTTCTCTCAGTGCACTCACTTCCTTTGTCTTGTGTTTCCTTTTTCTTTCTTACCTTGTTTACTTCTTTTTCAGCTTGAAACCTTCCCCTCGGAAAGGTAGACAAGTAACTAGGAACTAAAGGTAAGGGGAACAGGCAAAACAAACAATCGTAAACAACAATAAACGCATGTACCCTTATATACCTTGTATTGATAAAAAATTAATGTTGCTTCTCTTTTCCCTGCCGTTTAATGCAGTAGCTTGTCAATGGGTGTTGTTGTTCATGTGGTGTATAAAGTTTAGTTGAAATAAAACACGCCTTTATCTCACGCTTCAGTTGTTTTCTTTCAACAAAAATAAACGCCACATTGTGGTATCTGTGAATGTATTAAAGGGCTTCCAGTACAGGACTTCAGGTTGTAAGTGGGGTTGACCCCCAGCATCCTAAGCATCGTTGGCTTTAATCATGCTTGAACAAAGAAACCCCGCAGCACAAGTTCCTACACAGACAGCCCCCGTGGATGCTGTTAAAGGCTTGTTGCTGGGGGTGTAGCTTTCAAGAGGGCTTTCGGGTTAACTGTTTCAGATTGGGTTTCAGGAAGGCTTTCGGGCTAACTGTTCTAGATTAGGTTGCAGGGGGGTTTCGGGTAAGCTGTTTTAGAATAGGTTTCAGTGGTGCTTTCGCGCTACTGTAACTGTTGTTGCTTTGCGTAAACGCACTGCAACGAGCAAAAAACATAGATCTTTGAGGGGGGGGGTAGCATATATATATATATATATGTATATATATATATACAAAAAAATGTAGTCTGTATGTGTGTGAGAGTGTGTGTCTTCCCTCTTTGCTCGTTGCTACTGCTACCATGATTGAAATTAGGATCGCACTCACTATGAAGTGCTCGCATTGTTGGATTCTGCGTGGAGCTTTTCCCGACCTTGGACCTGACGTTGTATATCAAGCGTCTACATCTCGTTGCATAAGTATCTCAGCAACAAGAAATATTTACTAAGTAGTATGATTGCTGGTCAAACAGACTTTAGGGGCCCATCCCTTAGACCTGCGCTACGAATCCATCAAAGCTGTCCGTCAGGTCATGTCACGTCCTAGGCCAACGCTCGGAACCCTGGGCCCTTTCAAATCTGGGGGGCGCGCTTTGCCCACCTGACGGTCAGACGCCCGGCCTCCTCTCTTTGCAGCCGGCGAGCCAAGGCCTGTTCTAGATCGTGACTGATACGTGCGGCGTCTATCACTCTCACTCTCACTCTCTCTCTCTCTGTCTATCTGGCTATCCATCTGACTCTCTGTCTCTCTATCTACCTGCCTATTTGTCTATCGGTCAATCTGTCTATCTGTCTACCTGTCTACACATGTGAGCTGGTGACTGCACTGGACACATATCTTGATGACATCAGTTTCTGAGATACAAAAACAATACATACCGGCATGCATGTAAGATGCTGAAGGTGTCATGGTGAGCACTGTGGAGTTCTTGAGACTACTAGGGCCCTTATCTACGGGTCACGATTTGGGACTCAGTTTCCGGGTCTCAAACGAGGGTGCTATGCTTGCTTGGATTCTGTGACCCGAGAGGCCACGCAGCAATGGAATGCCCGAAGATCCTGCGTGAACAGACTCACTTAGAAGACCACCCAGGAAGACCATTCAGAGAGCAAAGACAAGAGATCGGAACCTCCTCATGGCCCCGTGGCTATTCCACTGGTGCTCTCCAGCTTTGGAGTCGTTCATTCTAACAGTCCCCGAACACTACACAACAACAGAATCTTGACGCCATTGAAGACTCTCTGCTGGTCCGAAGCCAGCCTCGTCCGATTCCATGGTGCCGAGGCGCTGCAAACCATCAGTTTTAAGCAACCGCCTTTGCAAACTTACCTTGTGAAGTGGCACCAATGCATCGCACGCCAGACACAGCTCGTGTAAGGCGAGTTGCGCCGCAAACCTCCAACATATCCTTGCGGAGACATGAAGAAACTAGGAGTTTGCTGCTGCACATGGCTAGAGGTGCTGAAAACTCCGCCTTATTTCCCTCAGCCGGCTACCTCGAGGCACAGCACAGTCTGCCTTCAACAAGAGACTACAGCTTGAACGGTTGCTGTTCTAAGCGTCGTCGTGGTGTTGCTTCTGCTTCTGCGGCTACGGCTGTTATTGGCGTGATGGTTCATCCTTCACGCAGTCAGTTAGCGTTCACGACTACTGGTAAGCCTCTTATTGCCTTGTGTCATTCCTGGCAACAACAACCATTCTGCATGGGTCTGGAGATTGCATTTGCTCTTGTCATCTTTTTCCTTACTAACCCTGGTAGAACTTGTATCAGTGTCGGTGCTCTCGGAAAATTCGGGGCTACAATATGTGCACATGTCGGTACCATTGCAGGTATGGCAATCGCAACCTTTGCTGCAGATGTTGCTCCTATCGATCCTCCTCACTCCTACTACTCCTCCAAGTCCTCCTCCTCCTCCACCTCCTCCTCCTCCTCCTCCTCCTACTACTACTACTACTACTACTACTACTTAGTGCGGATATGCTTTGTGGGTCTCAGCTAAGCGGAGGCCCAGAGGTGCGCGCAAAAAAACACAAAGAAACGCGATAAAGCTGTAGAAATAAAAGTAACAGGAACAACAAAAGCAATGAGCAATAGTAATAATAGTAGTAGTAGTAGTAGTAGTAGTAGTAGTGGTAGTAGTAGAAGTAGTAGTAGTAGTAGTAGTAGTAGTAGTAGTAGTAGTAGTAGTAGTAGTAGTAGTAGTAGTAGTAGTAGTGATAGTAGAAGGTAACTGTAAACAGTAAAAGAAATTTTGCGTTTGGTTAGAGTTGTTCGTGTTTGTTTGTGGTTTGTGCGCTGTTCTTGTTTTTTCGACTGTTCGTGTCTTTTCTAGTTTTTGCGAGCTGCCACTGACTCCGGTTGTGCACGACGCGCAAAATGAAACCGGCATATGTGCTTTGCTGCTGAGAAGCAGTAGGGTACAGCATCTCAGTCACTGAGTCATGGGTACCGCCTCTTCCAAAATGTCACGACAGGTCATCACTGAGACAAAGGCAGAACAACGAGGTTGGCAAGCATAACAGGAATAGCGCAAACGGCAAGCTAGAAATACTGCCCTGGATATCAGGTATAAGGCAGTAGCTTCCAGGACTAGGAAACTTGGCGTCCCATGCTTCTAGACATTACACGAAGCCATGGTTTCGGCTTGCGGAGACCGAACAACAACTTCAGAGATTGAGTCCGAAACCTAGTGAGTCCTTAACCTCCCTCGAAGCACCAAATTTTGCCTGCGCCATTTCCACCTTGGTCTGCCGGCGAAGACTGCTTCAAGCAGGTGTGCGCGTCTTGGAAGTTTCCATGGACTGGGGATCCCGGCTGTTGTCCCGAGGCCTGCTTTGGGGCCTTGTCTGAGACAGGCTTTTGAGCTTCGGCCTATCCAAGTCGGGACCTCCACTGCTATTGAAACTCCCAATTCACGGAAAACAGCTTGGAAGGCCGGAAGTGGCCCGAAGTCATCAATGAAGTTAAGTCTCGTTTTGTTGCTATTTGACGAATCCTCGTTGTAGAATGCATCTTGCATTAAATTGCATTCGACCTTCCTCCCGTGATTCAAACCCCAAGCACCCATGACACTGCGAACTCTAGTTCTCTGATTGACCACGACCCGCACAGTGCCGGTGCTTAAACTGTCTGAAGCTCAAAATTTGAGTTCAAACCCAGCGAAGGGAAGGCTCTTTGTGAATCCCACGGGGATCATCGCATCATAGAAAAACCATCGCTACCTCTTGCGTCACCATCACACCATCGATGCCGCTCATCACGATCATACTACTTACAACATCGTAATGGCTAAGGGCATCTGATGGGATTCCGGCACTATCCTGAACCCCCTAAAGATATTCACCACCTGTCCTTCGGGCCATGAGATACTTCGTTCGAAGCATCCGGGAGCCCTCCGAGCGTCAGAGGCTTCCTGTAAAGCTTCGCCTGCTGAGCTTTCTGCTTGTGCGGCGTGTAGAGTGTAGGAGCTCGCAAGGACACGGAGACAAAGATCCTGCCTTTAGGGTACACCCAGATATCTCGCTGGGAAGATGCCTATGTTTGCGTGGCTTGGGCCCCTCTGACAGCTCCTCTGGAGCGCCAGAGAACATTGACGGACGCTACGGCCGCTTCTGCGTTCGAGAAAGCATAAGCCCATCTTGACTGTTCGCTAGATCTGACATACCATTCCCCTCAAAGAACCTACCTACCGTTTCGGTGATTGCAGCAGTCACATGCAAGCTGAAATAACAACCATAACTATAACGGTGCAGAAGGTAGCAGCATGATTCAGGCAATTCAATGAGGGCTTAGATACAAACATGTACGTACGTTATTTGACAGCAAAACTGACTGCAGCCACGGCTGGCCTATTCACTTCGCACTGTGCGAGTGTCTCCGACTGCGAGCCGCTCGCGGCTACGAAGGGCATTCGAGCTTCTGTAATATACATGACGGGAGCGGCGCTTGCTCTTTCTAAGACAAGAAGGCTTCAGGGTTTCGAAGATTTATGACTTGATGGCACGAACACCCACAAGGTCTCACAGTCGGCTGGGCAGCGGAAAAAAAGCCGGAAAATCAAAGACCGGCGCTCTGTACGGACTCACGGGTGGACGGCAGATGAGTTCTGCGCGAAGAAGGACAGAAGAGGAATATGCATGTCATCGGCTCGGACGGCATCCAAAGCAAGGCCGGAAAAGAAGGTCGCGAGGAACATGAAGAAACCTGCCGGTCAAGGGTTGTGTTGCCGTTCTTATCTTAAGTACCATAGCTCAAGTCGTCGTAGCAGTAGCAGTAGCAGAAATAGTAGCAGTCATAGTGGCACTAACAGTAGCAGTAACGGCAGCAGCAGCAGCAGGAGGAGGAGGAGGAGTAGTAGCAGCAGTAGTAGTAGTAGTAGTAGTAGTAGTAGTAGCTGCAGCAGGAGTAGTAGTAGTAGTAGTAGCAGCAGCAGCAGTAGTAGTAAGACTAGGTCGTCGTCTTCGTCGTCAGTCGTAGTCGTAGTCGTATTCGTTCGTCGTAATAATAGTATTAGGAGTACTGGTGGTAGTAGTAGCTATAGTCGTAGTAATAGTAGCAGCGGTACTAGAAGTAAGTACTAGTAGTGGTAGTACCAGTACTACTAGTAGCACTAGTAGTACTAGTAGTACTAGTAGTACTAGTAGTACTAGTAGTACTAGTAGTACTAGTAGTACTAGTAGTACTAGTAGTACTAGTAGTACTAGTAGTACTAGTAGTACTAGTAACAGTAGTAATAGAAGCTTTAGCAACACTCCGATTGCTTCTGAGTCCTCGTGAGCAGCATCTTTCCTAAGGGGTGGCGTCGAGTTACGTAGGCAACGCAGGACACAGAGCGACAGAGCCGCTGAGGCGCTGAGAGCCTCCCTGTTTACGAGAAACAGGTAAAAGTCCAAAGCAAGTAGCCAAACAAGCATGACCTGAAGGAAAAGCAAGACCAGCTCTTGCAGGGGCCGGGCCTGAAATCGCGGAGATCAGGAAGGCGAAGAAGTTTGCTTGACGAGTCTTGGTAAGTTCAATGGCCGCCATCTCCGAGACCAGGGGCTGCCTCCAAGTCACGGCATTCTTCTTGACGACCATCACCTGGCGACTTTAGGGGCTTTAGGACTGCAGGATAAAGCATACAGGGTGCAGTTTTCGGGGCTCACAGTTTCCCTGGATTTAGGGGGTCTATGAGCCGCTCTTTCGTTGGCTTCGGCCAACACCTACAGTACATCATGATGCTGAATACAGCTGCTGCCAACTCTGCTGTGCGGCCTTCCTCTTCGATCCCTCATCAACAACTGGGTCGACCCCTGGGCTCCAAAACTGAGGCATCAATTGAACCTTCACTCCTCAAGCGCGATCATCCCGGATATTGCGCCACTTCGCAGACGTCAACCCCTGAAGCGACACCTCGGAAGCCTACGAGATCCGAAGTCCTAGAGTTGCACTTATCCCATCATATCTACCAGTGTTCATAAACATGTTTCGCATTCGTTGCGATTGTCGCTACCATAATTTCCCCTTCATCATTGCGATCACCATGACTGTCGATAGCTGACAACTCCTGCAGGGCCCCGCCGCGTTCTTGACTTCCCGGAGAACGAAGTTCGGGGGCATGTCCCGGCATTCCCTGGGTGCTACGCTCATATGGCTCTGAGACCACAACTCCACAAATCCTCGGGTCTTGCAGGTCTTTGCCCCGGAAATATTAAAACTGCCGTTGCTTCTGGAAGCTCTTCGAGGCGATCAACGAGAAGCTAACATTGGATGCAAGCTTCTAGACTTGAAAACGCAGTGTCAAGAACGATATGGGCATTGAATCTCTCAGCTGCAGTTTCAAAGCTCGAGTTGGCAACAACATAATCAAAGTAGCGGATGGGGAGCAGAGGACAAGCTCGGAAATTGGCACCATGTGTTTAAGCAAAGGGCGGCTTGCTGGAATTACAACTGGCGCTGCAAACCTGTTCAGGAAAGATTCGATGCCGCAAGCTAAAGGGCAACCGGACATCCCAGATAGGAGTCTCACAATGCAGGAGTTTCTGTCTGCCTGAATCGTCAGGACACTTCCCTGGACAATGACCCGCTTGGAATCCCTCAACTGATTGCTATTGAGTCACACTTCTTGGAAGGCCTTGCCAACCTGACCGCCGACAAAGTCGAAGCACAAAACGAGGCAGCAACGGCTCGGGTATTTCGATGCCACCCCGCTTCTCGATATCTCCCCGCTTACGAGCGTACTTTCGTTCAGGAAGTTCAAATCAATTTCCCACATCTCAACATTGCCAAAGCAAAGAGCATCTCTCCAAGCTTTGAGAGTCTCGAGGGTCAACGTGTCATTAAATTAACTCCGAGAACAGGCTAGCCGCAAATGACGGGAAAACAAAGCTGCCCCGGTTTCTATACGGAGCTCCTGTGGCTGTAGAGTCTGCACCACAAGACAGACTCGCACAACTTTTCTCACACGGACCACATGGTGAGAGCAGGAGACCTTGCTAGCAGCATGAGGCAACTCCAACAAGCAAAGTTTTCCTGCGCTGAGACTGTTGTTGCCCGGCATGACCCTCCGAACACTGGAGAAGCAACAGAAAAACTGTGCACAACATCCACCTGAGACATGAAAGCCCAGAAACCTTAAATCCAGTCAACATCAGGTTTGCGTTCCATATAGGATTGAGGGATTGTGTCTAACCCTGAAACGCTAAATCTGTAGATCTGCAAGCCGCAAACCCCTGAGCATCTGATCTAAGCCTCAAGTGGCCCTGAAGAAAGATGTTCTTAGCCATGTCGCCCCAACACTCCGTCGCAACTCCTCGTTCTTCCAGATCCTTTGCTCGAGAACTTAACTGGTTCAGGGTTCGGGATTCCGGGGTGGCTTTGTATGTTGATGGTGGACTCGGGAATCATCGGCTCGGATTTCTGCATGTCAGAGCTCACTGAGTTCAGGCTGGAAAACGAAGGTTTGGCCCTGAACTTTCATCCGTGGATTTTGAAACTCGCTTCCATCCTGACTCGGAGTGTTGGGGTGTCAGTTGTGTGTCGTTTGAGGGGCTTGAGGTTTCGGTCAATGCCGGACAATCTGTAGGAAGCGAAAACTCGAGTCTTCAAACACATCATATGGCCTGGTCCATTCTCTAGGACCTCAGGAGCTCCCTCTATAACCCCGCTAAAGTGTCACCCCCACAAAGCAAGCATACGAAATGAGAAAGGCACATCCGCCCCCACAACGCACCTTCGAGGCAACCAAGCCAAGGACACCAAACTACGGCTGCGACCCCTTTGGCCAGGCGTCTCCGAGAAGACTTGCCGGCTGCGCTGGCCCCTCAGCCTGAAGCTTTCGGCGTTCGGGAGCTGTCGACAAAGGCAAACTAAGGAGCTGCAAGACAGAGCTCTTTCTCATGCGGAGTCCGGAAAGGCACCAGGAAGCTCCAGAGATTCACCCCAAGAAGCCTTTGCTGCATGTCGTACAGGCACAGGAAGTTGTCGATGACCTCCTCAGGATATAGACCGAAGAGCATCGGGCCGCTAAACGCCTGAACCGTCCCGTGAGGAAGACTTCGAACTGGTGACCAATAATGTCCTCGCCCTGGAGTGCTCTTCGCGGCTACTTCTGAGCCAGCGACGAGGTTTCAAGACGTTGCGGAGCTGACTTTCCGGGGAACTCCATTGCAGGCCGTGTGACGTCCCAGTTGTTCTTGTTCACGGTCTCCTGGAGCTTGTCCAGGAATTTGGCAATGTCCTGCATCGAACTCTCTTGGAGCGTCGCACATTCCCTCGTTGGAGGATCTTAGGCTTAGACTTCTTGGAAGATTCGGACCTTGCAAAGATCAACTGCGGCTTCGCCAGGGGATGTGGAGGGGGTGAGGCTTCTTTCTACGATCCTTCTTCTTTATAGCAGATGGCTTCAAATTCGATCCCGCAGATTGCGGGAACTCCAAATTCAAAGACTACGTATTTTGTATTGGGCTCCTGATAAATCAAGCTGCCTATCCAAACTAAGCGAAGTGACAGGCTTCAATGGCCTCACACCTAAAAGCTGGTGCATTTGCGGATCCCTCAAAAACAAGATCGGCCAGAAAAAAATCAAAAAAATAAAGGTGCCAAACAAAGGACACTGCTTATTACAGCCCAATCATCTCATTGCGTTTAACCCCTGTGGCCCGTGGCCTTCTATGAAGCTGATGAAGCTGAAGCATCATGTACGGACAGCTGCACTTGTCTTGCCCAGACTTGGAAATGGAGCGGAAAACGGCCCGACTTGGTCGGGAAAGCCCAAAACACCGCATGGGCTCCGTTGTCTTGGCCTAACTTGGCCGGGAACGCCGGGCAACACCAGCATCATGAGCATCAGCTATCTTGCTGAAGGAGCGCACAAAACAGCTGAGCCTGTATTCCTATCGCTTCAATGAGCTTACCATCAGTCCTCTATCCCACGCATCTTGCATGCTTCACAGTAGTACAGGAGTCCTCCAGCTCGCGAGTATCACGGGCCATCTGCTTCGGCGAGATCTTGAGGAATCCCAGGAGCTCGCCTCGAGATGATCTGGCGGCTGACCGAAGGTTTGGAGGGTTGAAGCGGGTGAAGTTTCGGGCATGATCTTCTGGCAGATGGCGCTGGACGGAGAAACTAGATTGAAGGTTGAGGCGTTGTTAGGACCTCGTCCTACCTCGAGCTTGGGAAGCACGCAGCTTGATAGCAAACCTCTTCAGGTCTCTTTTCGAATTTATTGCGAACGGTGCAGGGTTCGGGGGCTCCCTTCCAACTAGTGCAGCAAACAGAAACTGGACTGGGCTCCTGGCCAGAGGAATAGCCTCAGCTTGGCACAGCAGAACCGAGTCGTCTTGGACTTCTTCGCCCCTCTGACGCGCAAAATGCAGCTTTCCGAATCTGGGACTCCCTGCAACAGATGACCACGACGAACCCTTCCCCGGAGCAAACTGAACCTTGGGCCTGAACCAAAGTATGGACATCCAATCCCCAGCCGGCTCGTTATTGTTTGTAGTGTTCCGCTGCAAGTACCGATTCGGCTATGAATCCACGTCCCCGTCTTGAAGGCTGGCAGAATCCAGGTGGCTTTAGGTGCGGAGCGAACTGTGACCTTTTCGGGTCCGGGTTTGGGCTGCAGCCCTGTACTTCAGCTTGATGAATTTTGACTACCTGGGTTGATAAGTTGATAAGTCAGCCCCATCAGGCTCCTGAGATCTGCTGGACCGCAAAAGCCACCTGCTCCTGGCCAGAAACCTTGCCCTGAACCTCCGAAACCCAAGCCCTGAATTGTCCCACGCCCAGAGCCCTCCTGGATGCTCAGATTCAAACCTTGCACTCGAGGCCCGAAGCCCCGAAACCCCCTGAAGTCTTTTCAGCCGTGCAGCCAGTGTGTGCCTTGAAGCGTGCATCTGCGAGCCTGGCACTGGGGTTTTGACAGCTTCAGGCTGTGGGTTCAAGGGCTTTGGGGTGCTTTGAGCATGCTATACAAAGCCGACTGGTGACTGCAGCAGCACGTGTGCCTGCCTCATTACGCAGGCTGTCAAAGCTTTGCCAGTGTCCTTCATCGCGGAGGCTGCAACGGAGGTGTGAGGTTTAGACTTCGGCATCTTTCTTGTGATGATCATCAGGCCATGTCCAGGGGTCTAGGGTTGGGGTTACCGATACGCATCCACAGAGAGACAGTGTGGTGCGTGGTTTGTAGATTACCCTTCCTTGGCGCCTTGGCTGGCACCTGTACCTGCACGTGCAGTGCTCCTGCTGCTCATGCTGCGTGTGCCATTCCCACCTTCGTTGTTGAGAATCGGACTTATGGCAAAGCAGAGTCAGCCTGGAACCCCTTTCTAACACAAGTACGTAAGAGAAACAGAGGGTGAGACTATTTGTCAGCATACAGCAGTGACTATGATAATGATGGTGATTATGATGATGACGATGATGATAACGATTGTTGTGATGGTGAAGAGCGAGTGATGCTTATGATGATGATGATGATGATCATGATGATTATGATGATGATGATGATGAAGGTGAGGAATGATGAATGGTGGATGATGAAAGATGGAAGATGAATGTGAATGGTGTATGATGAGTGATGAATGATGTATATAGTGACGAAAGTGATGAAGATGATGAAGATGAGGATCAAGATGAGGATGGATATGAAGATGAATGGTGATGACGACGATGATAACGGTGCTGATGATGACGACGATGATAATGGTGATGGTGATGACGGATGAGGATGAGGATGAAGATCATGATGACGATGGCGGTGATTATGATAATGATGATGATGGTGATGTTGATCAAAGACCATGCATGCTGCGATGCTGACACTACTACAGATGGTGATGCGATCAACTGCGAACCATGGAACAGGTGATCCTGGACATCCGAACCCATCATTCTGGACATATACACAAGTTACCCTGCACCGAGCCATCCTCCACCTGCTGCTGCTGCAGTACCGCCTGGAACTTCTCGAAGGCCTGAACATGCCGACATACTCAGCTACGATGCTCCGATTCCCAGTTCTTGCACGTACTCTGGCATAGTCCATCAGCCTTGAGCATCGACCGTGACTGTCACATGCTCAACTGTACCGAAATCTCAGCTCCGATTGCACGCTTGGCGAACTTCCGACCCAAGATCATCCGACAATAATTGAACAACCCGAAGGCCCCAACGCCAAACCAGGAACTTTTAACCATATCCGCATCTCTTCAGCTTCTGCCACTACTGTAAACCCTACGCACACTAAGCCCCAGGGTCACCCGCTTTCCGTCTAACTCACAACACCATGGAAATCAAGCCCACCTGCTCGAACTTCTTGCCGGAGCAGGAGGACTTCAAGCCTTGCTAGAACCAGCTGTCAGTTGACACCATTACTAGGCGACACAACTTTCCCCATGGGGAGGGTTGGAGTTAAGGGCTTTGGCATGGGGTGCGAGTCAGGAAACTTACTTGTTCTGAATGTCACTATTGTTGCTCCTGCCGACAGTCGTACTGAGTTCTTGTAACCTGTATTCCTGTCTGCACGTCTGTTTGCTCGATGGGTGCTCCTTTGCCGTTTTCTTCTGCGCAGCGCTGTTATAACTCAGGTTTTTTCATCGGAACTGGCATAACTGTCGTCACTGTCGTCGCAGACTGGACTCCGCGACGCTGTATCTGCATCTCATCTCACTACTATTCCTGCTTCTGCTTCTGCTCACGAAATGTGACCCTGTTTCCAGCGTCATAAATGCTAACTAGCCTCCATGGTTTAGAGAGTGATGATACTATGCTTTCGGGTGTTTGCTTCGGCATGAGGCTCTATTGATTCTTAGTACTAGTACTAATATTAGAATTAATGTTCGTATGAATATTAGTATGAATATGAGTATTATGTATGAGTATTGGTAATCCACAGAGTCTCGGGGCACGAAAGTTGGCGACCTGGGCGGGGCAACCCTGATCGACCCGTGGGTCGGTCTTCGAGAGTGTTTACAAAAAAAAGGCACCCAAAACCCCAAAACAAAAGAGCAAGTCCCTCTTCAAGCACTGGTTCGACATAAGTGTTGATGTCGCTTTGTTGTTTCAGTGATCTTCCACCCATGACCAGGTACCTGCGACAGTCTTCAAGCTCTCCTTCAGCTTCTGCGCCCCCATGCTGTTATCCTCGTACACAGTACACACAAAAACGGACGACAGAGAACATGGGTCCACACCTCAGAGACACAGCACGGCCAGTCTTGCGAAAGCTTCCGCATTTCAGTTTCAAGCTTTGCCAGCCGCACCACTGTCTCTATGACAGAAATGTCCTGCTGAGCAGCCATAAAACTAAAAGGTCCTTCAACATGTCGGACACCTTCGGGTTTTCCAGAACCTTCATCAACGCCTGTGCCTGGCGAAGCTCATGCGACTTGTGCCATACCTCGACCCCAGTCCACTTAGCCGATGCCCTTAACATCGTCAAGATCGGCAGCAGTAGCGAAAACAGCAGCAATCTCAATGGCAGAAACGCCAGCGAAAAGGCAAGAGTATGTTTGATACTCCTAATTCTAGCCCAAGCACTCGACATGTACTGTTACGAATACTGCAAAGACAAGCATGAGCAAGAACCGAGTGCTTGCAACATCTGCGTTTTTACTCGCGGGGCAAGGTAGTGACGACGACTATCTACCATGACACAGAGGATGGTAAGGATGTTTCGACAAAGCATGACAAAACTAACACAAGTGATCGAAGGAGCAACACCAACAAGAGCAACGGGACAGACTATAGTCGTGATGACAATCAAAGTGAGCCCCTGCACCTGCGGTTGGAGGCGATTGTCCAATGTTTGGAGCAGCCCTTCAACTCGCTGCCGGCCTGCAATGGCTCTGGGTCTCAAAGACTTGGTGCTCTTGACGTGGTTTGACATTGCAGAAACATACTACCCCGAGCAGCGGACTCAAAACCTGAATTGAGCCTGCACCGGCCAACTCCTCCACGGCCAGCTCCCCCACGTCCACAACCTCTGCCTGGACAAACAACCAATACTTTTTCTTCTGTTGCTGCCAATGTCCTTTTCTTGGCCCGGGTAAAGCCGCCGTCGTAAGGGTTGTACAATGGAAGGAGTGCTACCACTGGTACCTCCACGACGACAGACAAGACGCATCGCATCGCACCTAAGACGACGACAACGACAAGACCACCCCTAACGTCCAACCATCAGCACCACCACTACCACTGCTACGCCAGAGTCCAAGTGATGGTGATGATGATGGTGATGATGGTGATGATGATGGTGGTGATCATCGTCAGCTCATGATGGGTATGACGATGATGATGATGATGATGACAGCATATAATTCTGGCATATCACATCCGCGCTGGCTGGCGGCGTGTGAATCCAAAGCTCCGATGCCTACACTGTTTTCGTTTACAGTACTAGTGCGGAGATACGACTACAAGCCCGTAGTTACCGTGCAGCTCCGACTTGGGTTGAATGTTTCCTCGTTGTGTCCGAACTCGTGTCCAGGCACGCTTTTTGTGGAGGCTGCAGTGTGATCAGGGATGGTGAGGCAGACTACCAGGATGGAACACGTGTACAACAAAACTGAGCCTAAAGTCGTCTTGTCGTTACGACTCGCGACGAGATGCACCCTATCACTACACAAGGCCAAGATAACTACTAACAAAAAGAAGAAAGAGTCCCAGAACAAGAACCCTGGAAAGGATCTCTCCAAAACTCCTTAAACCCTAACCCACGGGCCCATGCCCAAGCCTTTCCGCAGGCCAACAACGGGGCGAGACTCCTGAAGAATTAATGAGCACGCTTCGGGTTAGAGACTACAGGCGTATCTGTATTCGAGCTTTGCGGTGTCTCTTGGGGCTTAGCTTTCAGGGTCTGTCTGGTCTTCCTCGAGGGTCTGGCCACGCAAGCGTTCACGTGTTCTAGGTCTGGGTTGTCTGCGTCTCTGTGCCCAAAGCGCGTGCTCCGAGACACCAAACCACCCGACAGGACCTGAATACAGAAGCGTACATGCGGTCCACTCACGGAGAGGCAGAGAACTCCAATTGCTGGCATGTCTGAGAAACTGACTACGACAGCAAGCTTTTGACAACGACAATGTTTCTTCCGGCCGGGTCATACCTCATGGTGAAAAGTGCCGAGCTCTCGCCGGGCGGCGAACTGCTGGGGAGTTGCATCTGGCAGGCTCTTGTTGTGCGGCGATTACAATTCTAAAGTGTTCCGCCCGCTCGATTTCGCGAAGTTGCCTCCTTTGGAGGCCTCGATGCATCGATTGGCGATTAAAGCTACCAACGTCTTGTTCCGGTGACCAAAGGACCACCGGACAGGAACAGCGAAAGGGCCGACGAAAACCGAAGACCGCGGTGACCACAAGGCACAGGGATTACAGCCACGGAGGAAAAATTAGCGGACGCCTGAACACAACCCTTTCGACACTCTGTAGAGCAGCTGCGGCACCCTGACTCTGCATCTTCCCTGGCCTGCAACATGTGGGATTGGGGTTCAGGGCTCTGGAGCTGCGGGCTCTTGGCATAGAAGGTTCTGAACTCCGAAACTTCAGAACTGAGGTCGACCTCAATCCTACGTCCTGCGGGGGATGAGTAGTCGCACGCATGTCCACATGCAACACCTCCCTTCCATGCCGCACGATACCGGGCTGCTACAAAACCTTGCTTGCATTAAGCATAGCATGCTCACAATCATTAGCCTCGTGACTGCCTCTTCCATTAAAGAAAAACACGAAAAACAGCCAGGCATCGTGCTTAGGGCCTAGGGAACCCAGCTTCTGAACCCAGACAGCTTCCGTCCCGGACTAGGCCAAGCCAAGGCTGAGTAAGGCTGCCCAATCTCGTAACCCGCGTCGACCCGAAAAGAGTGGAAAGAGTCGCGAAAAGGCCGATGCACGAATAGAAACGAAACCCTGCAAACCCGACCTCGCCGTCTTTCTCGGCCACTTCCTCTTCGTCCTCCTCGGACCCATAGTCCTCTTCAGCATTGACAGCCCAGGCTCTCAGAACATCAGAACATCCCAGGACAAGGAAACGGTTTCCCAAAAAGGAAATCGATGTCCCGGAAATCGCACGCTGAGGTCCTCCTCGTCCGATGTCTCCTCGTCGCCACCGCCGGGCAAGAAGGATTTCAGCACCCGCGAACCAAGATACCTGGAGTTTGTCGCACGCTGGGGCCACTGGGACTCCCCCTAAAGTGCGGTACGTATACCAATCATGCGACCGCGCAGAAGAGGATGGAGAGTCAGGACCCCACATGTGTCACGTTTGGAGCTTCGACGACGACAGCTTGAGTGACCACCGACGAGGATCACCGAAGTGCCTTTGTCGTCGCTCAAGCGAATCGTAAACCCGTAGCCTCAACAGCCTCCCAGCCGTGCGACCTCTGCTCAACAAGCACTACTGGGCTACTGTACTCGTACTCGTCACCAGCTGACCGAATGTCTCGACACTACGGTGATCAGACATGAACCTGAAATCTTTAGCGACATCTGCCCCTCACAGCTGGCCCTCGGGCACGTCAAGAGCCAGCCACCGCCAGCTTGCTCCTTCTTCATGTAACGTGGCACCGGAAGAACATCACATTTCCTTTGGGCTTCGCTCGGCAACAGGACGGAATGCACCAGCTTGCATTCCTCTTAACACTACTGGCAAGACAGCTTTCTGCCACCTTCTTGACCGGGAGCAAGGTTAATTCATCGCCCTTCTGTTAGCGCGCATCTGTTAGGCATCAACTTCGTGGTAGTTCTGCAAGGATTGTCACCGACAGCTCGGATACTGGATGCTGGCACTAGTCGAAGTTGCCGTGGGCACAAAGGTTTTCGGGGTTGCTAACACAAAAACAATTCATATTAGCGGAAGCTTGGTAGCGGCAATAGTAGCAGCAAGTGGTAGTAGTAGTGGTAGTAGTAGTAGGAGTAGTAGTAGCAGTAGTAGCAGCAGCAGTAGTATTCATTTCATTCCCCACGCTGCATGACATCCGAGTCTGCTTAGCGAGCTAGCATCACGCCTTTAACGTGATGGATCCTCAGTTGGGATCTGTGATGGGTCAGGGTGACCAGCATCACACTACCATACCAGACACTCAGAATAACGTTTTCTTCATTCTCAGCACAATCCTGGCTCATAGCGAAGCCAAATCACATAAGCTGCAGTGCGATGCATGTCTTGATCATCTGATGTGCAACTGCGCGCAACTCGACCATCGTCAGTGTGCCAGCTTTTGTCAGCTCCATAGAAAGGCTGGCCATTGAGCACAGCTCGGTAGTGCCCCTCAGTTGGTGCATCCCCAAAATGCAACGCCATCGCCACGACCTGGTATGGTGCTTGGTGGCATGCCAATTCATTGCGAAGCTCAACGCTCTCAGCTCGAAAAATAGGCATATGCACAGTCGACAGGTGGCCTTGGAGAGGCCGCAGGTCTCGCTGCATTGTCCCCTCCTCATTGTGAAAGCGGAGTAGCTGCAGGCACAGGTAGGGTGCAGGCGCAGTAAGGGCATGAATGCAGGATTGCCTATGCCATGCATCCACGCACCACTGCAGATGACATGTATCACCTGTGCAGAGAGGAATGGGAATGGGAAGATAGGCAGGTCCACGATCCAACACACTGAGTTGGCCATTTCTGAATCGGCGTGCCTCCCAGCTTGGAGCCTCATGGTCAGTAGGCCAGCTAAGGCACCTAGGTAGAAGATAGCCGAGGAATTCGCATATGTCATGCTGCCGATTGATCTGTGGCCACTGCCCAAGCAACATCCTCCAAGGCAAAAGGCGAGCTACCTGAATGGAGGAGGCAGATCGCTTGGAGCCAGAGATAAGGGTGTCAAAGTACTTGTGGAGTGCCGGACTATGATTGCCGTGGCGCCGCAGCTGCAGAATCGTCCAAAGGAGGGTATATATGGAGGTTGATTGTGAGGGTTGTGGAATTGCAGTCGCAGAACCTGACTGAGACTGAGGTCACGGCCCTGGGTCAAAGGCCCTGGCGTACTTGGTCCACCAGGGTGTTGAATTGCGGTCGCTCCTTCCGCAATCTGCATCCTAGCACATGCCACGCCGATTGACCGATCCACTTCTCAAAGGTTGACCATATACAGGGTCGCCTAGTGGCCTCAACGAGATCTCCATGCGGAACTGGATCCATTCCGATGTGGGCTGATCCGTCATCCTCTTGTAGCTCCGAAAACGATGCAATGCCTCCTCGCACACGCCCTTCCGCATTTCCACGGTCTGCTTGAGCAAGTCGTCCGTGCTCGCCGCTGGCTGGCTCTCGTCCACTTGCAGCTCCAGTTTGACTGGATCCCACTTGAGGATTCTCCAATTGCCGCGATCGTCCACCCAGTTGAGCTTTTTGGCCTTCTCCATCTCTGATGAATTTTTGGCTACTGAAACGAGTACCGGATCAAAAAAAAAATTAAACAGGATCAAAAAAAAACTTACTGCCCCAAGGATCAAAAAAATATTTAAACAGGATCAAAAAAAAATATATGCGCCTGATGGGGGAGGAGGGAGGAGCAGTGTGAGTTAAGGGGGGGGAGGGGGGGGGGGGGGGGCAAGAACGCGATGTGGGGAGGGGAACGGAGGGGGAGGGCGAGCCAAAAATAACGGGGCGGAGGGAAAGAGCGGTGTTTGGTCCTAGAGTGGAGGGGAGAGGAACGACAAGAAGGGAAGGGGGGGGCATGGAAGGGGGGGAGAGGGCGAGGCCCAAAAATAAATTTCATGGTGGCCCGGGCAGAGGAACGGCAGTGGGGGGAGAGGGGAGGGGGACGAGGGCGAGGCCCAAAAATAATAATGGTGGTTTTGGGGAGGGGGACGCGCTACGGAGGGAGTGTGGAGAGGGGGGGGGGAGAGGGGGAAAATTGAGGGGAGGGGGACGATGGCGAGGCCAGGATGGTGGCAGTGGAGTTTTGGGGGGCGGGGGGGGGGGGGCCGGCCCCCGCGAGCGGAGGGGAGGGGAGGGAGGGGGAGAGGGGAGGCCAAACAGGCAAAAACAAAAATAACGGTGTTGTGGAGGGAAAGAGGGAGGGAAAAGGGGGCGGGGGGGGGGCAAAAAGCGGTGGAGGGGAGGAACCGCTAGTTTGTGTTAGGTGGGGGGGGAATTGGGAGGGCGGCCCGACGGAGAGGGATCGGGTAAGGAAGGGAAGGAACCCCCCCCGGCAGGAGCATTATTATTATTATTATTATTATTATTATTATTGTTCTTCTTCTTCTTCTTCTTATTATTATTACTATTATTATTATTATTATTATTATTATTATTATTATTATTATTATAATAATAATAATAATAATAATAATAATAATAATAATAATAATAATTGTTATTATTATTATTGTTGTTGTTGCTGTTGTTATTATTACTATTATTATTATTATTATTATTATTATTATTATTATTATTATTATTGTTGTTGTTGTTGTTGTTGTTGTTGTTGTTATTCTTCTTCTTCTTATTATTATTATTCTTATTATTATCATTATTAATTATTATTATTATTATTATTATTATTATTATTATTATTATTATTTTCGTGTCTTCTTCAAGGCCCGAGGGGGGGAAACGCGCTGTGTGGAGGGGGGGGACGCGCTACGTGGGGAGGGAGTGTGGAGAGGGGGAGGACCGATCAGGCCCGGGCAGGGGGGGGGAGGGGGGAGCGGCAGTGTGGGGGGGGGGGGGATGGAAGGGGGGGAGAGGGGAGGGGGACGAGGGCGAGCCCCAAACATAACAATCATGGTGGTTTTGGTACGGAAGGGTGCGGCAAAGGCGTGGAGGGGAGGGCCCCCACCCACGCTACTATTTTTTCAATTGAACGCTGCGCGAGCGTGCTCTGCGCTTTGCGGGCGCCCTTGGTCTCATGCACTCGTGAAACTGCTTCTAGCATGCATCGCTCAGGTCTCTCTAATCAGCTCGAACTTGACAAACTACTTCAACTGCTACGTCTACAAAGAAAAAGCTTCCTTCTCCGACACCTTGGCGTGAACAGACGCGTCCATCTGTGCACCTGTCTCAACAAATAGGCCGTACCTCAGATGAAGCCGCCACCCGGAGTATCCGTCTCGTGGCGTCCCACACGGATTACTCATGTTGAAGACAGAAGGCCGTAAGGGTCATGTGCGGATGACCGCTGGTACCTGAGGCAATTTCGATGTCGTGAGTCTTGGGGCAGCTTCGATGCTGGCGATTTGCTGAAGCGCAAAGTGCTGTTTTAAGCGAGGCTAGCACGCGATTCGCAGTCTTCCGAAGAGATGTGCTAGGCGTCGGAAGAGTGCCGAATTCCCTGAGTCTGTGACATAAGGGATCATAGAGTCTGTGACATATTATCGCCCTCACTGGTCATGACCTTTTGGCCACTGCTGAGAGTATCCGTGCCAGGACCACTGCTGCCACCATTCCCAGTCGTCGTCCTGAGATGAGCGTGCCTGTCTGGCCCACTGGGACGAGGAGGATGAGGAGGGGCCATCGCGCTGCCGCTTGCCCTCTGTGTCTGCCTCCTGCATCTGTGGGCGCTTGTGAGTTGCAGCAGCAGCCAGCTTGGCCATGCGCTTGTCCTCTTCGTTCCCTTTGTCATGCTGTATCCGCATCTTCATGATGGAGTAGGCATTTTTGTCGGGCTTGACCCGGAAGACACGAGCTGGGAGTCCAGCTGATTTTGCAGTCTCGTTGTAGACTGCCACTATGGTGGTGGCGATCATATTGAATTCGACCCACGAGGGGAAGTGTTGCTGAAAAGCCTTTTCGTCCCACATCTTGTTAAAGCAGGCATGGATAAGGCCATGCACTTTTGTTGGCGCGTCCAGCTCGCGGTAGGCATCACCCGCGCCTGTGGCGATGGTGACCTTCCCATCGCTTGTGAGGACTCGCCTCACCGACATGGCGGTATCCCATGTGAGGCCGGTTTGCGTCCTGACGGACTTGATGGCAGAGAACAGCGGCGGAACTTCTCGGAGTGCTTCCATCCTGGTAGACCAAAGGGTCTGTTGTTCCTGGTTGGTGAGGCCGCCAAGAATGACCGGGGCTACCAGGATGTTGATGGAAGCTAAGGCCCGAATCCAGTCTTGATGGGACTGGGAGCTCAGCAGCTGAGCCAACTCCTGCCTCGTGTAACGTACTGTCAGCCGTGGAGCCGGCTGCGGGACATAGCCGACGAGTTCTGCATTGGATTCCGGAGGCTCATATGCTGACGGGGGGCGGGAAGAGGGAGGAGGGGGCGTGTGGGAGCGCGGAGCGGCCTGGGTGGCGGGGGTTGGAGGAGAGACGGACTTGGGGGGATGCGGAAGGATCGGGGGGACCGGAATCGCAGGAGGGGGGGCTGGTGCCGCCGATGAAGATGAGGGCGGGGGGCTTTGGGTGGCCACCAAGGGCGGTGGGGCCTTAACCGGAAGTGCTGGGGCCGCCTTCGGTGTTTCTGCTTGGCCTGCTTTGAAGGCCGCCTTTTCAGCTGCAGAGGAGGTGAAAGGGCAAGGGGGGGAGGGTGGCGGCTCAAAGCCGGCTGCTTTGTCCACACCTTTGGTCCTGGTGCTGCTGGGAGGAAGAGGAATTTCCTGGGGGAGCTTGGGGGGA